CGATTCGGACCCTTCCTTCTCCTGTTAGATGAAGCCAAATAAAACCTTACGACCATAGTTGGGCAAATGATCCTATCTTCATCATCCTCAGCATAGAGACTGGGGATCTCAGTAAGAAGTGCATCTAATGAAGTTAGTCGATTCTTGGCCAGATACCAATATTGGGCAAGAAGAGGAATCAAATCATAATTACCGTTGAACCATAACCAACACTTTTCCACTGACATTGCACGAAATTTGTTCCTTCCGTTTGTTAACTCTATGGAGAACAGGAAACGAGCCAAAAGGGTAAGGTACTCGAAGTAAACTTCACTCAGAGGATCATAAGGGGATTTTAACAATTCCCAAAGAACAAACAACACATTCCATCGAGTCAGACACTGATTCCTGAAGCTCAAAATACCAAATGAGATCGGAAAGTTGAAAATCTGACTGAATGGAAGAACCAATTACCATGCTGAGAAAAGGGGCTTCTCTATAATGCATAAGACTGGGTGCAAAATATTCTTTTTCCTCGAAAAGAAGAGATAATCGGCAAGTACGCTCAATGGGAACAGATAGGACCAATACACCTCCTGCTGCACCAATCACAGAAAATTCTCCACTTTGTATCTTAAATTGTAGCGGTAGATTGCATCCCAGCATGTACTATGCCATTGACAACCTTTCTTGAACACTGGTCCTGGCAGATTGATCGCTTGAGATGAGTCAGTCTTAAAGGTGAATACTATGTTATCTGCTGTGTTGTGGAGACCCAGGTGTTGCAACAGCGGGATTCTCTTCCGAGGTAATCATGACTTTGGAGCCGGGGAGGCGTTGGAGGTCTACCAGGAATAACAGGGACACATTGAGATCCTGACTAGGCAGAGCACCTGTGGAATTATTTTGAAACCACCAAAGCACACACATACAGGTGATCCCACTTTAGACCGAAAGATTCCACTGCCCAAGCACTCTGATGTTGTACTGAAAGGACATAAAAGAGGAACTTGTTGTTCTGTCTGCTATCGAAAACGTTCGCCAAGGGTCTCTGCCATATCATCTGGACAGACTGTCTGCCAAGATATTTATCTTGTCTAAAATATGGTGGACTCCGAGCGTGAGCTCCTCTGAGGTTCCAGACTTCCACGTAAAGAGAAGGACTATATGTGCCTCCCGGACGACTAAAGCACTGAGACGACCATAACGTAATTGTCACATAATAAGGCTATAAATAGCTTGGTTTCACATTGAATCCATTTTCCCACCTTTATTCGTTGTAAAGGCGTACAACGTTACCTGGGGTGAATCACTTGCCACCAGGTAAAGTGATTTCGAAATTACATGCGACGGAAAGTCATGGAAAAGCATGGTATACATGAACATTTGACCATAACTATTAGACACTCCTATGGATTTAAGCTTGATACATTTTGTACCGAGGCAAAAGTCATCTGGATTTTGTCACAGGTGTGGGTATTATGCATTACAGTCTCTTGCCATAGGGTTAAGTACCAAAGTTTTTTTTTGATTTGATTTGTTAAACCTTTTCTCAGTTTTCGTTATTGCATGCTTTGTTATTAAAATTTTAGTAATAAATATTTTGTTTTTGTTTTAGCCTATTGGATATTAGTTTCGTGGACTCTATTGTAGCATGTTGGACACTATTGGGCATTAGTGCACACTATAAGAGTTTAGTGGTCTATTGGATACTAATGGATACTATTTGGGCACTATTTGGACATTAGTGGACACTATGGAAGCTTAATGGACATAAAAAGAGCTTACTGGAATTATTGGACATTACTAGGCTGACAGTCTTATTGGAGCTGACGATGTCTTATGGGAGGTTCAGTGTCCGATAAAAGCTGACTATAGCTATCCATGGTTGAATGTAACTATCTGTATTGCTACGTCTTTGTGCATGAATACATATATGTATGTGAATGAGTAAATATAAGGGATCCGTGATGTATATGAATGTGGATTGATGAGAAAGGAATCCAGTGAAACTGCAGAGTTCCAGTTCGTATATTGAATAAACTGTAGAGTGACAGTTTTTCAAGTGATAGGACTATTCAAGTTTGCAGTAATGTGTTCATCAATTTGTGTATTTAGTTGAACGCATTTTTTGTTTAGTCGAAACAATAGTAATAACATTACGAGTATTGCTCATTTTCCTTTGTCAGTTTTATCTCAGGAGATTCATGAAATCTCAAAGCTTAATGCTTACAAGAGATGAAGCGAATCTCATTTTTCATTTTTTTTACATGATACATAGCATATTTGTGCTTCTTATTTTAGGCTAGAGGCCAATGAATCATTTTTTGTATTTTTTTTCTTTATCATTTCATGAGTGAATGTAGGATAAATTGCATCAATTTTATTATAGGAGTGTGAAAATCAGGGTATTTGTTTTGTATTTACACACACACACACACACACACACACACACACACACACACACACACACACACACACACATATATGTCTAGTATTTCATTTTATAAATTCCAATCATTCATTGCTTTGTGTTTGTTGTTATACATTTAGTCCAAACAGAAAAAATCCCACTCGGGTTCAATTATGCTTCAGTAATGTCACCTAATGATTTTGACACACCCATGTGTGAATAGAAACCCTACCCATATTTCAAATTTGTTTATGGGAGGGCTCTATTTTTCTTGGGTAAAAAATGTCATGGAAGACTGAACCCTATAGATCTAAGTGATCGCCCCAACTTTAATCTGATATATCGATACACATAAATGATTGGGGTTTGTGGGTGTGAGTTGGATTTCCGGTCAGAAACCGGTCCCATTTTACACAATGCGAATCCCAACTGATAGATGGTCTTTGTGCGGTCTAGCGTAGTAGAAACAGGAAATGGAGAGGGATCAAGAGTGGCTTTCTTGGGGAAACCAAGTCTGCATCCGATTTCATAGTTACCATGAGACAATGGTAAAAGCGGGTAGACAATGAAGTCTTGGCCCAAAGAACCTTTATGAAGAACTGGATTTAGTTGATTTAGTTAGAGAAGAAACCCACTCTCCCATCACTGATGAGGAAATCTATCCCCATCTATGTATTATAACAGATGGCGGGGTGGGGGTGGGGTGCAAATAGAAGACTGCATCTCAGCTTTGGCTGCTTTATCTGCCGATTTGGTCCTCTAGGCCAGTGAGATTATGCAGCAAACAGTACAAACTTCTTTTTTCCTAGGTTTTATGAGTTAAACATTTTTAGTAAAATCTCTGGGACATTAACTACTTATGCGAGCAGAGGTTTTTCAAGAATTTCATTGTAAAAAGCGAATTAAAAAACATAATGACATTTGTTGTTCTAAGATCGGAGTATGACCGTGATTTTAGCTGTTAAAACAGCAATTGGTTTGAGATGATGCCAAAATGGTCTTGCTATGACAGCGCCAACATTTTCTACAGCTTTCAAACCATCTGTGTACATGGACACATGGCTATGATTGAGGACTGGTTTACTCTCAAAAGGTTGAGGATTTCTTGAGAAATCAATCGAATTGTCAAAGATCAATTATTTTTGAGGGTCTTGATAAATAAACTTCTAAGCGAAGAGGAATCCTTATGCCAAATAGTGGAACAAAGTGTCTGAGGTTTTGGACCTGAGTGGCTGAGTGGTCTAAAATGCTTATCATTGTGGATCACTGCCATCTTACCTCTGTCTGCGTGGGTTTGAGTCTCCTGTTTGGCCAATGTGGGTATGTGAGAAAGCTTGCTAGTAGCTTCTCAAGGGTCGGTGGTTCTTTCCAGAGTTATACTGGCTGCCATGTATGGCCTATCTTTTGCTGAAAAATGACATGAAACAACAACATCAGTGTTGGAAGGATGGGGTGGTATGAGACTCAAAAAGTGTGTTAGGAGGTCCCAAAGGAGGGGAAGGGTGTTAGTGCACATAACAAAAAAAATGCAATGCCATCTTTTTAAATAAGACATTATAAAAAGTTTAGAAAATTAAAATCAGAATTGAAAAATAAACTGGTCTTTAAGTTTTCAAAGCATTTAATACACTTACCATAGAAAGACTTTGCAAAGTCAGATATCAACGCGATACACATACACAGGTGCAAACACACATAATCACAACCAACATTAAAGTGTCCGTCTTAAATAAACACATTTCTAAGGAAATATGGTGATCCAATGGGACTGGAACTTCAGCAGTCTGGAGTCTATCAGTAGGCCGTATGTGGGCGTCAGTTATGGCAGGTCAACACCTAGTGTTAGAACTCTTGAAGGCGGAGAAACTTGGGCCCTTGTCTTTCCTGTAAGGTTGCCTACTAAACTGATGTTTGCTGCCTAGTGACATTATGCTGGGATCTGAATTGAATGTATGAATGAAAAGGTACCTTGTCCCTGGTCTGCCTATCGATTGATCCTAGAGTTGGAATGGCAGGTCCTGATTTGCCTGACCTCAACGACTTTAAATTATGCTTCCAGAGTAATTGTGATCCAGACAGGGTCACCTGTAATGGCAGGGTATTATGTGCTTTGATCGATGTGGTGTGCAAACATGCATCACGTCATATGAGGTTGAGATCAGCAGTCTTCACATTGGTATTGGATTGGTGAGCTGCCCTTGTAATAACTGGAGCAGTTCTGGCCATCGCCTCCCATGCGTGTTCATATTGCCAACGAATTTAAACTGTCGAAGATGTTGCGACAACATTTAGAATCAGAATTAAAGTGGCTTGTCAAAACACTTTACAAAACACTGAGAAAGAAGTAGACTAGACTACTGCTAGATTTTAACTAAGAGCCAGGAGGTCAGTTAGGAATGCAATCTAGTTGTTTTTGTACCAAGTTAATGAAAATAATGGTGGTACCTGAATTTCTGAAAAGAATACCTCTGCATTCTCTAGATGACAAATTTTTCACATCAGACAGTCATTAATCTCTTTAATTTTAGCCAACTGGGTTAGGTGCCTGAAGAACAGAGTCTCTTGCTCCTCGCCAATGCTTCAAAAGGTGGTAGGCTGGACCACTCCAGTGGCATAGTGATTAGAGCGTCCGCCTCGGATGTGGGAGGTTGCGGGTTTGAATTCCGCAGTCATACCAAAGACTTACAAATTTGGTACTAACAGTTGGCTCACTAGGCCTCAGCAATAAGAGGCTAGTGTTAGGACTGGTTGGACTGGTGTCAGGATAATGATACTGGGTGGGACATCATGCTACATGTCTGCGGCATGATACCCCCAGTTCTTGACACACTATAAACTGCCACACTGCAGACACTGTAGCAATATGTCAAGATCAAACCAGAGATACAATCATTCCTGCATCAATGTGCCCACCTGTTGTCGGACTTCACTACCATCAGAGACACGTGGGAGCCTTGGGAGTGGCCTCTTCACTTTAAGAAATGAAAGCTGCCATCAATGTCTTTCACTTCTGGAAGGATCTACTCTCAAGCAAAACGGTCCTCATTATGTCCGAATACTCTGGTGGTGACCTACAACCCCAAACAAGGGACATCTTATCACCTAACCTCTGTGTTCTGATTTGGCAGTTTCTACATTGGTGCCACAACCTAAAAATAAAACAGGAAAGGTTAAGTCATTCCCATGGAATGTCTCTCATCAATCGGTCTTTATTTGGATCTGTACACTTTGGGGGCACTCAATAATTGATCTTTTTGCGACAATGTCTTATCACAAGTTGCTCACATTCGACTCTATTGTTTTAGATTCAAAAGCTTGGGCTGTGGACACTCTGTCAATCAGTTCATGGAGGGGTAGTGGACATTTGCCTACCACAGTTAGAATTTCAAGTTGATTCTGATAGCCCCTCCTAGATGGGACAAGCCTTGGGTTACTGATCTACTCAATCTAGTGATAGTTCTGCCCAGGGAGATTTTGGCCATGAGCGCCTCAATACCTCAACTTCTTGAATTTTTTCTCTGGCTGTTTGAGGAGAAACAGTTGCCCCAAATTACTATCAAAAGGCTACTACTTCATGATGTCAGGTAAATTATGAAATCATGGTAAATGTGATATCGGGTGCGAGAAAGATCTATCGAATTTGTCATGGGTTTTAAAATAGCTCAGTTATACTAAAGTTGAGACTTTAGCCCACATTTAGTAAAAACTATTATCATACAAAACACGATTTCTAATGGCTTTAGTTTAAGCATGTTGGGCAAGTGACAGACAAACCATTTCCTTCCACCTAAACTGGTTTCAGTTCAGATCAGATGTTTCAGTGGTTCTCTTGATACAGGTACTGTTGGCAGAATCATCATTTGCTCACTCTTTTCCATAACATTGTGAGCAGGTCCTGTTCATGTACAAGCAGTATTTGAAATGCACAGAGACAAGTTGTGGCACACACAAACACCTCTTTACTTCTGGAGAATGCCAGGAAACAAGATATCATCCCTCAAGACCTTGCTTTGTGGTCAAAATGGGGCAGAGGTCTCACAAGATCAGAGTCGTCGGATGAATGATACAAATCATGAGATCTGTCTGCATGCAATGTTTTGATCCAAGATCTAGTAGAAGCTGTTGGATGGCATGCTGAGTCAACCTACTTTAGTTTTTTTTTTCTCCTCTGAAATTTAGCTTCGGAGAGCCAAACCCTGAATCTGGAAACTATGGTGGCAGCAGCCCTGAGACCCAATTAAAACAATTAACAGTGTATCAACTTTACTGGATTCACCAGTAAAACTGTATTGGTAAAAAGATTTAAGTAATTATCTTCTTAACTATATGTAGAGGATCACAAACAAGTAAATGTAATTATGTTTATTGTTTATGTAATTAGGAGAACAGGTCATTGTTTGCATAGGGAATCCAGCCATCATTCCATAGAAGGATAACATGAGGTAAAGGATGGATGCTGTTATTTATTCACCTAATGTTGATGCGATTGGGAATGTATTTGAAGGAGAAAGCAAATTTTTCAGTAGCTTATGTTTCTCAGAGAATACTTACCCAATCACATTATTTAAAAACCCTCCCAACCACATCTCTATATGAGGATCCTCACTATTATAATGCTCCACATACAAGCTAGCAACACCTGGCAGTGGCAAGGGAGGTAATTAGCAGGAATTATTGCCCATTGTTTATATAAGACAGGAATGACGATTTTTGCTTTTAGTAGGGCTGGATTTACAAGGAAGCTATACAATTTATTTTAAAATTTACTCTTAAGATATTTTCTCAAATAAATGATTTTTAATACCACATTTATCACATATTATATACATTTCAACTGCCTTTACTATACAAGATTCAAGGCAAAACACAGAAAATGTACAGATGGATGGATGTATGGATGGGTGGGTGGATGGATGGAGCCAAGGTTGGATGGATATGCAAAATAAAATGACTGATAAGAATAAGCCATATGATTGCAAGGATTTACTGCTTATTGTTCATAAATACATGTGATAATATTACCAGAATATAACTGTTGTATAATTGCCAATCAACATTTTTTAACAATCATTGTCATAAAATGATTAAGCTAACTTGTATGATATTGTCATTTTCTCTCTCTCACCCTCCCCCAAGTGGCCAAGTGGTCTAAAGCGCTATCTGTTATGGATTACTGCCATTTCACCTCTGTCTTCCTGGGTGAATGTGGATATGTGAGAAAGCTTGCCAGTAGCTTCTCGTGGATCAGTGGTTCTTTCTGGGGATTTCTGGTTTCTTCCTTTACCATTAATACTGGCCACCATGTATAGCATATCATGTGCTGAAAAATGGCGTTAAGCCCCACCGCAACAGCAACTCTCTCTCTCCATATATATATATATATCTATATTTCCTATATAAATGTCCTGTAGGTAATGGTTACTTTCCTTGTACAGTCAGTGACCAGTGTCTCCAAACTAAACAAAGGATTCTCCCTGTCATGCACTGCCACTCTGCCACTGGTACATATCTACAGCAGTTACTGCTAAGTCATTTGTTTCATTGTTCAGAAAAAGAAATATTATTTCAAACATTTCTTATGGCACCTGTACTCACTCTACTCCAGGCATGTGTCACTATGCAAAATTTGAAAGCAAAGTGGTTTTTATCATTAAGGTTAAGGACCAAAGCAATTCATTTGTGGAATAGTTATAAAACTGTTTTTACATCAGAAATAGAAGTCACCTTTTGTGCCAGTGTGACAGGTATAGTTAAATATCTTCATCTATTTGTCTGTGAATTCAAACTATCTCTGAAAAACATATATTTGTCTTTGAGAAGATATCCAAGTTACATACCTTTCCATTAGAATCAGGGGTCCGTCAATGTTCAAAATGTGTCTGTATAGGTATGTGAAGTCATGGGTCACAATGAATAATCACATAAGGCTTCATCTGATTTTCTGGTCATCACAGCCTTCTGACATATGACAACTATCTTTTGATCTTGGTGAGTGGAGAAAATGACTACTCAAGATATTGTTTTCAAATCGTGACCAAACAAAGATCAGTGTAGATTTTAAGTCAGTGATAATTTCATTTATGGGATGGATTAAAGTGAGCATGATACCATAATTATGTTGAACATAAATTTGGGAGTGAACAGCATATACCAGTAATATTGTGTGTGTGTGTGTGTGTGATTTAGACATAGGTGTGGCATGATGTCCCACCCAGTCACATTATCCTGACACCAGGCTAACCAGTCCTAACACTAACCTATTAATGCTGAGCGCCAAGCGAGGCAGCTGTTAGTACCATTTTTTAAAATCTTTGGTATGACTCGACTGCAGTTCAAACCCACAACTTCCTGCATTAAAGGCGGACACTCTAATGATTTTGTATACATGGAACAAGCTTAATAATAATAATAATAATAATAATAATAATAATAATAATAATAATAATAATAATAATAATAATAATAATAATATTCAGTGCATGGTACTTGTTTCCAAACAAATTTTAAAATGTGAACCTGTGTACATTGGTCACCTGTGTGTAATGGCCTGTACATATGCAACTGTTAGTGACAGGTTTGACTATACATATTGCAAAAATATCTCATTAAACAAACTTCTTAACTTCCAAAACTGTTTCAATGATATTTAGGTCAATTTGCAAATTCAATTGCAAGATATACCATATTAGTAATGCACTATGATAAATTAAAACAACAGCTGATGCAAATATAATTGTCTGTATTATACTGTACAAAAGTATCAATACTATAATCATGTCTTTACACCTTTATTAGCTCAGAAATCAAAACAGGCATGTATTAGAAAGCAATCAAAATAGGCATGTATTAGAAGAATATATAAAAAAAAAATGTGAATGGATTATGATCCACTTCAAAAAATGTACCTTAAAATATTAAACTGACCCAACAGATCAATTTCCCAAACAATTCTTGTAAACTAATGAGCAGATATAGTGTTTAGTATATCTTTAATTTTGTATGTTTTTAAGATTGTTCAATTGTTTGATTGTTTATTCACTTATTCAAATAATGTTAATTACTCCACATCTATTGTGACTAAAAGAGCTACATTTTTCAAACCTTTTAAAAGGATGTGAAAAATAGAAATGCAGGGGTGCAAAACATTAGTTTTATCTCTTCCATAATCATGTTCACCCATAAATACTTCACAGAAATTAATTATTCATCAGAATAATACTTTTCTTATGCATTTTTCTGCAAAAAGTTTTGACTTTGTGAATATGATATCCAATGGTTGCAGTGGTGTCAACTAGATGTTAAAGTATTTTAGAAAGCATATAACTCTGAAAATAACTCTGTAATAGGCAAGACTCTGTTTTGCAGAACACTTATTAAATTCTACTGTCAGAGAAATGTTTTCTCTTTTAGAAGTTTGTAAAATTTCTAAAGGTGGAAACTCAGTTATGGCCCCTTATGCTATACAAACACCTTTGAATTCACCCCAACATTTTATATTGCACCCACTTTTGCAATCAAGCTTATTTTGTTATTCAAATGTGAAGTGTATATAATGCACTAATTTTATTCCATTGAAGAGTGCCATTTTGGGGAGAGTGACAACTTTGTTTTTCACCGCAATTAACTGAATAATTATGTAAAAGAATGACAGTATATATAGTCTCAGTTATCA